ATTGATTTGTAATCAAGTTAGGGATATAGTCGTAGATCTATAGGTGTCACCCTACTTTTAATTTTTTTTTTTCTTCTATAAAAAGAACTAAATGTGGTTGTTGAAGCTAAGGAGGACAAAAAATGACCATGCCTCAATAATATTAGGACCAAATTAAATGGAACATTTTGAAAAGAAAAAAAAAGACTAAAAATGGACTGACACATTCAAATCTAGAACAAAAAATGAAATTATAACTCAATAAGACAATGAAAAGTTGTCTGAATCACTTACCAAATACATGTATTACAATAAAAGATCCACAAAGAAATCTGTTCTAGCTATTGAACTGGTGTACTATGCATACGTGTATATATATAAATCACAAACACACCTTTGTTTCCTCTGCAAATTCTTTATCAGAAAACCAAGTGTCATCGATTACGTCAGTTGGACTTATAGGATTTGGTTTGTACATAATGGTTGCCGTTGAGGACGTCAGCACTATTCTTTTCACAGAAGGTGTTCTCACACATGATTCAAGAACGTTTAGTGTCCCATTTACTGCAGGACTCACTAGCTCTGCCTAAAATATATATAGGGACAAACATCATAAAAGAGAAAGAAGATAGATAAATATAGAACAAGTGGGGAAAATGGGTGATCGTGAAAGAGGTGATTATGAGGTGATTATGATTGGTAAAAAGAAAATCGCTGGTTAATTCAACAAAGATTAAACATAAGAAAAGGAAAAGGTTAACCTTAGTTGCAGATGGTGAAAAAGAAACAGGTGATGCTGTGTGGAAAACACCTTCACACCCATTAATTGCAGAATCAAAAGAGTTTTCCTCAACTAAGTCAGCTTCAAACAAATGCAGTCTTTCTTTGGCACCATCTAATGCAAGAAGATGTGACACCTTATTTGGATCCTCTGCAATAATACCATATAAGATGTTACTGTAATGGAAGGTACAGCAATACATATATACATCAATGATTTTCCAGAAATAAAATTGAATTGGAAGAGAGAGGGAACTGACTGAGGCTGCGAACGGTGGCGTGGACGGTGTAACCACGGTGGAGCAAAAGCTTGACGAGCCAAGAAGCTATGAAGCCGGAAGCACCGGTCACGCATACCACCTTCCCCTCACCGCTCATCCTCTTCTTTTAGATAATAATAAACTGCCCATCTACCAAGTCTGTCTACTTATATATTCATACAAATTAAATGATTGATTAGTAAACTGGACAAATTATAGTATGCAATGGATAAGGTCCACCTTGCATTTAGGTTACTAATCCAAAATGACATTATGTACTTATCGATTAACATATTAATGTCCATTTTGGTAACATAGTTGACGCAAATTATGCAGTGGACTCGTGTCCACAATACACTGTGGACACGAGTCCAAAACGGCGTCGTTTTAAGGGAAAACGCGTCATTTCAGTTAATTTTTTTTTTTTTTTTTGATTTTGTCTCGCTGTTAACGTCGTTAACGGTGTTATTCGTTTGTGCCATTATGAATGTACAGTTTTGGAATTATGAATGTAAGTTATAAAATATGAACACAGAGCTCTGACATTATGAACTTACAATTATGAACATATAGTGATAAAATTATGAACATAGAGCTCTAAAATTGTGAACATCGAGCTTTGAAAATTATGATTTTACAATTATTGAATTATGAATGTACAGTTACGAAATTATGAATGTACAGTTATGGAAGTATGAATGTACAGTTATGGAATTATGAACATAGAGCTCTGACATTATGAACTTACAATTATGAACATATAGTAATAAAATTATGAACATATACTCCTATAACGAAGCGGTCTGAAATTTAAAAAAAAAAAAAAAAAAAAAAAAAAAAAAAGAGAAGAAGAAGAAGAAAACAGTGCCTAACGGCACTATTACCCGTGTCCAACATGCATGCTGGACACGGGTCCATAGCATAACGATTGCATAGTTGATAAGCCAATAATGTTTGGTTAATAAGCTTTTTGTAACAGCTTATTGCTCCAAAACGTTGAAATTCTAAAAATTGCTCAAAATAGTTTTTTAGTAAGCTTTTTGAGAAAATAACTTATTTCTTTCAAAACACCCCCAATAATTAAAAAAAAAAAAAAACGAGATTGTGTAGACGGGTTAACAGTTCCGCCTTTCAGTCCCATTACTCTCTTTGTCTCTTCAAAGTATTAAGCAACGGGGGGCTTGAGCCCGTCGATGAGGCTCATAAGCCCGTTGCCTAGTACCGTGAAGGTAATTAGCAATGGGACATGTGATTAGTGTTCACAGGCATCCGAACATGTCATTAGTGTTCACAGACTTCCTCTCCGCTAATAACTATCAGCTTAGTCAATCCGCTATCAGCTAACAACTATTTGCCAAACACCCCTATGTATTTTCAGTTATTTCATATATATATATATATATATATATATATATATATATATATATATATATATATATATATATATATATTTAAAATTTATTAATTGAAAATATATAATATGTTAAATCACTTAACTACATGTATATAATAAGTTAATTTCAATATCTACATAATTTATTAACCAACACATAATATGCTACTCCGTAATTAGTAACTAAATATATATAATATATTAATTATAGATACATAAATTGTACATAATTTATCCGGCGTATGGTAAACTTCAGCCTACAATATAACGATTGTGTAAAGTGTCGACCACTCATTTTGTGTTTAATTTCATATGGTCCACTCAAAAGTAAGCGCCAAACTTATTACTCCATTTATAGTGAAATAGACAGGTGCAAAGTTGCAAACAGAATGAGGTTGGGAGCTATTTGGACCACGTCCAAAAACAACATCGTTTTGTTTATTATATAATCAATTGCCAAATACCTAAAGAAGAAATTAGTAAGACCCAATTTTATGACTTGATGAGGCAATATACTTTAGCTAAGGATAAAAATTTTGGACTGCGAAATTATAGAAATTAAAAATGTTTTTGCCTATTATTATCATTACCATGTTTAATTTGACAACCTCTCCTACATTTCACACTACCCTTTTAAATTCCTACATCTTAAATTAATTTTCAACTCATCTACATCTCTTTCACTCAAAATTATTTCTGAATTAATGATTTCAACTACTACTCTATTTTGTACTATTCCCTAATTTATTACTCAATTACTAAATGTCCTTCATCAGAAACTACTTCTGAATTGTTGTAAAATCTTATTATGGACATTATTGTAGCATTAATAACAAGATTTGTAACAGTTTAGTATTTATGAAATGTTATGTAATAGCTGTCAAATATATATTATATATACTTTGTAATCTTGTATAAAATGTAACGATGAATGAGATGATCCTCCTTTCTTCCTTATCTCTCTGATTTCTTAACACGAATGAAATTTTCAACTCTTAACTATTCCTTAATTAATTTTGTCAACTCTTACATTCCTCTACTATTCCCGAATTTACTTTTCAAACTCCTTCACTCTTCTATACTATTCCCAACTCAGACTCTTTAAGTTTTTCTACATATTTTCCTACATCTTTGATCTTTCTCGCAAAAATTATTTTTTCAATTAAACCTTTGCGGAGGCATACACCCCCTCCTTAAATGGTATCAGATTACAATTCTGAAAAATTAAAATGATTCATCCATATTTAAGAATTTGCAAACAGCTTCTTAGAATATTTGAATTTAATCTCTCAACTTTTCAAGCAGAAATGCAAGAATATTCTCAAAATTCTGAGCACTATGAATTGCCTTTTGAAAATTATAAATTTTGCCTTTGAAAATATTCGGGCTCTTAAAAGCTATATTATTGAAATTTCAGCATGAATTTCTTTGAAAAAATTTCACATTTAAAATATTACCAAAAATTTTATAAAACAAAAGCATTAGAATCTAAAAATGGATTAGACACTGAAGGGAAAAAGTATTATCCAAATTCCCTTTTTATAAAACAATGCAGACTACTTATGAAATTCAAAAAGAAATTCTAGAAGAAATTGAAAATTGTATAACAAAAATAATTTGTTAAAACTAATGAACTATTTTAAGAATGAATCATTCTAATGAAATGATTTTAAAACTAATTGATTATTTAAGAACTATGATGGAACAACAAGAAAAGAAAATTTCAAATTTATCAAAACTAATTGAGAATTTTAACACAAAATTTGATCTAGTGATAAGAGAAAAACAAATAATTGAAAACCCAAAATTAATTGAGATAAACCATTTAGCGTCGTCCAGATGTGTCTGAATCAACGAATCAGATGTAATTTTTTAAAAATGACGTGGTGGCATTTTCGTAAATAATTCAAATTTTGGTGCATGTAAATGTGTTATAAGTTCAAGTAGCTGGTGCATCTTTGCAAGTAAAAAATGTAGGTAAAATCACTTAAAAGTGCACCTACTTTCACTTACGAGTGCATGTAATTTCACCTTGTTAACATTCATGCACCTAGGTGCAACTACTTATAACTATAGGTATACCTAGTTATAACGTTATGTGCACTTTGTTTTGATGCTCAGTGTAAATTTTACTTGCACCTGTAATACATTTTACCTGCACTTGTAATACATTTTACATGCACTAAGGTGCATTATATGAAACTGCTACTTGCACTTGTAATACATCTTACTTGCACTTTGATTTCAATTATTTACGAAAATGCCACCATATTTTTTTTAAAAATCAATGTTTCTCATCTATTAGATCTTGACATGTGGTCAGTGCTGAATGGTTCTCACTTCTTTCCTGGGCAGGCAGTTCGCACCTGAATGCAGCCCTATATATATTAACTATACTAATAAGAGCCCAAGAGAGTTAGGCCTATAATGGCTAGAAAAAATGGCGGTCAAATTTTTTTTATCAAATAAATGGCTCAGATTGATCAGATTTTAATTTTTCCTTACAATTTCGTAATTTATCCTTAATGAATATGATTATCCGTTAACTTTTCTATTTTTTTTAAGCAAAACATCGAAAAAGACTTTCATTACTGATTGAAATAATTCACAATACAAGCTGGTGGGATATCAAACCAAACCCCTGAGGCAGCTAAAGAACCGGTTGCCCGAGCAATCCCATGAGCCACACAGTTCGCTGTTCTCTTGACATGGGAAACACTAACACTCCATATGTCTCTAGCAATCGACATGAGCCACACAGTTCGCTGTTCTCTTGACATGGGAAACACTAACACTCCATATGTCTCTAGCAATCGATAGACATTGCTTAACAATAAGACCAACATACGAATAATCAGAAGAATAAGAATTAAAAGCATTACAGAAACTCAAACAATCGGATTCAATCATAATATTACTGTGATGTTGTGCTTTAAGCCATGTCAGGGCTTCCTTGACACCGAGAGCTTCAGCCATGTACGGATCAACGACACCATCCATTTGTCCACTTTTCGCCGCGACAAAACCCCCGTTATGGTCCCGCACCACAGCGCCAAAACTAGCGCCCTCACCGGACAAGGCAGCATCTACATTGCATTTGACAGTATAACAAGGAGGCGAAATCCATTCAGGAGCATGACGTACCGTAGGCCTCTGGACAGCGTATGCTTCTTTCCAAGTAAGCTGCAATCGCAGCATTTGCTCACTAGCATTCACCCTCTCCGGAATTTTATTGTGCCATACAACATCATTACGCGCCGTCCAAATCGTCCAGAAGACAGCAGCCAGTGTCCACGCTTCCTCCACAGACAACCTGCCAATCACATGAGTCAAGAAGCTCGCAAAATCCCTGCCTTGCAGAACATTCACAGCGCCCCAAACCCCTTCCCCAAATACACAGTCACAAAAGAGATGTTCTAGCGTCTCCACCATGTAGCCGCACATCGGACAACCCCTGCCTATCCACACCCTCTTGGAGCGCAGATTGTCACGAACCGGCAGCACATTACGAGCACACCGCCATAAAAGATTTTTTATTTTAGGCGGCATAGGCAGCATCCACAACGCCTACCACGCAAGAAAGCCACCGGTATCACCATTCGTATCTTCCTCTCCTACAAGTACTCGATAGCCATGCTTAACAGTGTAGCAACCACGGATATCGCCTATCCACCGCCAGCTGTCTCGGAATTGGATGTTCACCGGTGTCGACAAAATTCTGGCCACATCGTCTTCGAGAAAAATATCCCGTAAAATATCAATATCCCATCAGCCCGTGTAGTCAAGTAGATTATGAACTCTAGCCTCACGCAGTTGCTCCACATATGGGGTACTCAACCCTGCCACTGAGGAACCTGCGAGCCAGTTTCATCCCCAAACCTTTGTGTCACGTCCATCCCCTAACCGACGAGCCACACATAACTGTAGAACCCTCCGTCCGGCCATAATGCTACGCCAAATGAAGCTGGGGTTACCCCCGAGTTGCGCGTCCATAAAATCCAATTGCGGGTAGTACTTCGCCTTAAGCAGGCGACTGACTAACGAATCAGGGTGACTAATAAACGCCATCCTTGTTTGGCCAGTAATGCAATATTGAATTCATGTAATTTTCTGGATTCCAGACCACCTTTTGATTTAGGAACACACATCCTGTCCCAGCTCAGCCAATGGATTCCCCGACTACCTGTTCCTCCACCACCCCACCAATATCGATTAAACATCTTCTCCAGAGAATCACACACACGCATAGGCAGCAAGAAGGTAGACATGGTAAAAATCGGTAAAGATTGTGCTATACTCTTAAGTAGAACCTCTTTACCCGCACGGGATAGAAGTTTGTTTTGCCATGAACCAATTCTTGCCCAAATGTTCTCTTCGATGTACCGAAAAACAACCGTTTTGTTGCATCCCAAAGCCGATGGAAGGCCCAAGTAACGCCCCAAATCCGTCGCTTCGGGAACCCCGATGATCTCGGAGACCAAAGCCCGAACCGGCGTAGTTTTGTTACGACTAAATACTGCACTGGACTTCTCATAGTTAATAAGCTGTCCCGAGGCCAAACTGTAGCTTTCTAAGCACTCTTTAATTTTTAAAGCTTCTTGTTCACTGGCCCTGAAAAAAAGCAAACTGTCATCAGTAAAAAAGAGGTGGGAGATGGCCGGAGCTCCCCGGGCCACCCTCACACCATGGATGTCACCTCGCGCTTCCGCCTGTTGCAAAAGGGTAGATAAACCCTCGGCACAGATGATAAATAGGTACGGAGATAGTGGATCTCCTTGGCGGATGCCCCGTGTAGGGCAAACCTGCCCCGCGACCTCCCCATTCACCATAATGGAATATTTCATGGAAGTGACACAAACCATTAACAGCTCCACCCAGCTTCTTTCAAACCCCAATGCCCTCAACATACCCTCCAAAAACGACCACTCCATCCTATCGTACGCCTTAGCCATATCTAGCTTAAGCGCCGCCCATCCCTGTAATCCCCTTGTCGTCCTCCTTAAAAAATGACCAATCTCCCTGGCCACTATAATATTGTCCGTGAGTAGTCGTTCAGGCACAAACGCACTCTGAGATTGGGAAACAACCTGAGTTAGGCATCCCTTCAATCTGTTGGCCAGCATTTTAGCTAACACCTTGTAAATTACATTACAAAGCGCTATCGGGCGGAGGTCCGACACTTTTTCTGGGATAGGTTTCTTAGGGATGAGAACAATATTAGAATTGTTCAAATCAGGCGGTAACTGCTTCTGTTTCACACATTTTATGATAAAAACAGATAATCCATGTCCCAACAACGGCCAGAAATGTTGAAAAAAGGCCGATGACATACCGTCCGGGCCCAGTGCCTTTTCTGGCTTCATGTCAAATAAAGCCGTTTTAACATCTGACATCGTGAACGGTTGCAACAAGGAGAGTTTCATCTCCGTAGTCACTCGTTCCCGAACTCGATCAAAAAGGTTAACACTACACACGCCGGAACCAAAGATGTGTTCAAAGTACCTGATAATTTCCGCCTTCATTGCCTCCCCCTCTGTCCAGTCGCCATTCTGGTCTTTGACACGGGACAGAAAATTTTGCTTACGACGTGCCGTAGCCGACTTGTGGAAATATTTTGTATTAGCATCACCGTGTTTAAGCAAGAGTTTCTTAGAACGCTGCTTCCAGAAGATCTCCTCGGTTTTCTGAACTTTCCCCAACTCCTTCTCCGCCGCCATGAATCGTGCCACAGCTTGTGGTGAACGATTCTCTTTTAGATTATCCAGAGTTTGCCGGAGCCCTTTGCTACGAGCACCAAAAGTACGATGGTACTCAACCCCCCCCTCCCCCCCACTGCCACAAGCACTGGCCAGACACCTCAATCCGATCATGAAAGCTCATACCCGTCGACATACGCCAAGTTTCATCGACCACAGTCGCACAACTTGCCACCAGAAGCCAGGCAGACTCAAATCTGAAGGTCCGCAAGGCTGCCCGCACCGGACCAGTGTGTAAATCGACCAGTAACGCACAGTGGTCGGACGAAGTGGTGTAAATGTTCTTGACCCTAACCCCATCGTGTAATTCCATCCATTCGACCGTCGCTATGGCCCTGTCTAATCTCTCCTCCACCCATGCCTCAGTTCCCCGTCCCTTCACCCAGGTAAAACGGCCCCCCGTCCCTTCACCCAGGTAAAACGGCCCCCTGTCATTCCCAAATCATTGAGCTCGCAGTATCCCAAAGCATCGTTAAAACCTTCAATGAGCGCCGAAGGGTGAGAATGTGCTTCCCTCTTCTCCAAAAGGCAAGTTATGTCGTTGAAATCTCATGCGACTACCCAAGGAAGGCGAGAGTTCTCCTTAAGTTGTCTCAGAAGATCCCATGTCTCTTGCCGTCTACTTCTGTCTGGTTCCCCGTAGAAACCCGTCAATCTCCACACCGGACGCCCTGGAAGAGTTAATTCCATGTCAATGTGATTGCTGGAATAACTCAATAAAGACGCCGCATTCTTGTCCCTCCAAAGGAAAGCTATGCCCCCTCCGAGGCCTACTCAACTCACACAAAATTTTCCTTCGAAACCTAACGTCACTCGTACCTCCTCCATTCGGTTCTTTGTTGCCTTTGTCTCCATTAAGAAGACAAAATGGGGTTGCTATTTGGACACAATGCTCAACAGTTCACGAACTGACCGGGACCCCCCAACCCCTGGCAGTTCCAGCTTAACAAACTAATTTGGCTCGGCGAGTCTGATCCGCCAGACTCACCAATTCATTTCATTTTGTGTTGTCTGCCATCTGCACATCATCTCCCAATATGCCATCTAACGCCACAAGTTCTCCTCTACGGCGTTTCAGATCGCGCTGCAACCCATATGTTTCCTCCATCGCCACAAGCGTTGCCGGGGTTGGGTCACCTGGTACGGTGGAGGGTAGTGCCGCAGGAGTAGACGTCGACAGTAACCACTTCGCCCGTACCGGTTTCACCTGTCGTTTGGGGCCAGCACATAGCCAAGCACCATACGGGAAATCCTCAGGAAGAATACCTTGCACATAAGCTGTTTTGCAGAACTTATCCGAATGTCCCAGGAGTCCACAACAATAGCAAAACGTGCTTAACCTCTCGTACTTGAAAGTGAGCCACTGCATCGTTCCATCACGCCTAGTCAGCTTCATACGATGCTTAATCGGAGATGATACATTAATCCGCACACGGATTCTGTAGAAACTACGCCATGCCCCTCCGAAATTAAAAGGATCCGATGCAATGAACGATCCTATATAATTGCCAATCTGAGTGACGAATTCTGGTGATGCGTACATTGCCGGCAACCCATGGATCTGGACCCAAAAAGGGATGGAATCTAACACTACCTCCTCCGGACGAATACCAGACGGAACTTGTTCACATAGCAATAGGTGATTCTCGAACGACCAGGGTCCATCGTCAATTACCCGTTGGAGATCCTTTGGATGAGGGAATTGGAAGAGGAAGAGATCGTCTGCCAGTGATATCGCGTACATACCCATGACCAGCCTCCACACCGAAGCCAGGACATGTTGCATGTGTTCGAACCTGATTGGTTGATTATTGAGGAGATGACTAACGAGGTTGTTTGGGATCGTCGCATCTGGGATCGACCTTGCGTCGGGCGCCTCAAGGCCTCCAACCTCTTCGTCGGCCAAAACCATATCGGCACAGCGTTTCTCTAATTGACGGATATCCATACAGAACAGCGTCGGGTGCCACAGCAGAAGAATTTGGAATACGATTATTGATACGAAAGCTATCGAAACAATCAGAATAAAAGCCCTAGACAGCCTAGGGAAAACACTCCCTCAGATCACGATCGAGAGAGGTGTCCACGATCAGAAAGATGATCAGAAACCACGATCAGGCGTGACGGGAATTGCGGAGCGTTTCAGAGACTTTCTGGCCAAGCTCATTATTCCGTTAACTTTTCTGTTAAATATTATCTTTTCCGTTAATTTCTTTTAGTTCATCGTTAACTTACTCATTGATTTCAATAAAGAAAGGTTTTAGGTTCGAACCTTATCCCAATCAAAGTTGGCATAATTAGTACTCTATTTTACTCTTATTAAATTAAATAATAATTTAGTATATATATATATATATATATATATATATATATATATATATATATATATATATATATATATATATATATATATATATATATATATATATATATATATATATATATATAAAGAGCATTTGATCTTGAATGAATCATTAATTACTAATTTTAGTTGAATATTCTGATCGTTTATGATTTGTGCTGAAGATTATGTATTAAATTTAGTCTTTTCAATAATTTTTTTTTTGAATGCAGTCTTTTTAATAATTGTTTTACATCTTTGTGCATTATACACTACAAAAAAGTGCAAAAATAACGACAGATTTAGTGACAGACGCGTTCTGTTGCAAATTTAAAGCTAAATCAGAACAACAACGCAAGAATAGGATGAGTAAGGTGGCAGGGCCTAGTACAGGATGTTCTCGACATACTAGAGGATCTAGATCAGCTATTAAACACTATCACAAATTGGTAATACATTTAACTTAAAAATTTATTATTTTTATATATTTTACAAATTAAGTATCATTTTATTGTTTGTGCTTGTTTAATAGCGAGATGAACTTCAAAAGGAGCCTAATCTGTTTGAGTGCTTTGAGCATATGCACAAAAAGAAGAATGGTACATTTGTTGATGAGAGGTCAAAGAGAATCGATGTAAGTATAACCTAACAACTATATATTGTTAAATAGATAAATTCTTATATGCCTTTGTATACTTCTCTTATTTTGTATATGTTTTTCATTGTAGGACGAAATACAAGCATGACATGATGCTGCATTGCAAGAGGCGGAAGCGTCAACTGAGCCACCAATTATGAACATGTCACAGATGTATGTGGATGTTGTTGGTGGGGTAAAAAAATAGTGTATTTATGGCTTAGAGACTAAGTCATCTGCATTTATCAACGAGAATAGCTGTAGTTCATCTGCTACTTCAACACTTCATCAAGAGGCAATGAAAGAGATGGTAAACCAACAGTTAGAGACCATGCGAGTTGAGATGGAGGCTCAGATGGAAGCTAAACTACAAGCTGAAAAAACTCAAATGCAAGCTCAAATTGCAAGTTTGATAGATGAGTTGCGTCGCAACGGCATGCTATCCACTCCTATGTCACGACCTCCAAGTGCTCAAGCTGAACATTATGCTAATTTAAATGATGAAAACTTATGAGATGATTAGATTATGTTTATTAATATATTTGGTACTGTTTCTAACGATGTAACATTACACTGCTATACTTTTGTTATTGTTATTGGGTTTGAATGCTTTAATATAATATATTTTACAATTATATTATTCAAGTACTATATTATAGGCTTAATGCAGGTATGTGATATTAATTAGCGGGTAAATTTATTTTATTAATTTTTAGAATTTAGAGACGGACAAATATTGTAGTAAGGCAACGAAATAGCGGCGGAACCGTAGTTAAATTTAACGACGGGTATTTTCATCACTAAGTTTTAGCTAAATGGCATTCAATTCAAATAATAAACACAAATTAGCGATGATAATTTCCGTCACTACATGTAATGACAGACTCTAGCGACGGAACTGTCCGTCGGTGTATTTAGCGACGAAAAAATCCGTCGCTATGCCTTTGCAAATCTCGTCACCAAATCGTCGTAGTAGGAAATTAACGACAGATATTTTGTTGCTTTAGCGACGGAATTTCCGTCTCTAGATATAGGGACAAAATATTCCGTTGTTATTCACTCACAAATTTCGTCTTCAAATTCGTCGTCGGAAGAAATTTAGCGACGGAAAATTCCATCGCTAATGTTAGTGACGGAAATAAATTTTGTCATTAGATTCTAGCGACACGGGTTTTTGTGATGAACGAATTCCGTCACTAAACACTTTAGCGACGGAATTTGTCCGTCACTTTTTAGTGTATTACAATTCAGATTTTTGCCTTCTAGTACACATTGATAAAATTCTGATGTGTAAACTTGTTCAATTGGAGTCAGTGTGATGTCAACATTGTCAATTCTTTGGAAAATGGTCATATTGTTTTAGAGTCCAGATGTAATTATATTTATGATCAACAACTTTGTAGTTAGGTCGCGCAGATCTGACAATGGTGTAAGAACAATTTTGTCTGATAAAAAAAATAATAGTATAATATTTATAAAGTAATGTACAATTGTACCATTATAAAAAAATACATACAAAAAATATTAATACCATAACGACCTAAATTATTCCAATAATGGAAAATTATAATTGAAATATTAAGTTTAGTTCTAAATAATCAAAATAAGATTAATTTAACGGAAAAAAAAAACTTAACCTAAATTTATTTATTTTTTTAAAAAAATGCATAAAAATCAAATGATTTTTAAAGTTCATGATTTATAATCTTTGAATGCTATGTATTTAGTCAGACTAATTATTTGACCAAAGTTTATGTTAAATTTTATATTATATATTTTTAATACTTTTTAACATACTCATAGTATATATATTTTTAACAATTATGTCAACTCTAATTGGGATGAGGTACGAATCTAAGACCGGCCCTTTCTTATAGAAATTAATGAGTAAATTAAAAATAATAAATAGTTAAAGGAATATTCTGTTACTAAAGTTTATACTAACGGAATTAAGTTATTTAAGGGATGAAAATAATGTAATAGAGGGTAAATAAGAAAAATCATTTAAAAATACTCAAATCAAAATAAAATGAACCATTCATTTTAAGAAATAATTATACCAACATTTTTTTGTTCCAGTTAAGGGCCTAACATTATTGGCTCTTATTAGCATGGTAGATTTTTTTTGTTCCAGTTAAGGGCCTAACATTATTGGCTCTTATTAGCATGGTAGATTTTATAGCATAAAGATATGACTTTATAATAAAACTATAATAGAAAATTTGCAGGAAATAAAGTGTCATTACATAGTAAAATTGAAGATATTGTCCATGCATTAAGCCTTATATATAATATATATATTTTATAATATAAATGTAATACTTTATAACAAAATTGTAATATATAGTTTGAAAGAAATAATATTACTAAACTAATATACCATAAAACTTAAATTCTCCTGACCGGAGCCGTCTCACGGATTGAGACCCGTGAGAGGGTTTCAAAAAAGAATTTGCCTCAAATATATTACTTTGGCAATAGATATATAAATAAGTTGTATTCCTTGCATTCAGTTTTTCAGTTTCATCAATAAAGTCTACGTTTCTCTCTTTCACCAAGAATGCTCCAACATTTCTTCTGCTGTTGTGTGTAAAATATATATTTAACTCAAACTCAAGTCACAACACAAGTAAGCAAGTGAAATTATATTAAAACATGTTTAGCGTTTAGTCTTAATTGTTTATTAGTACACGTAATGTAGAGATCAACAATGACAAACATTCAACAACAATAAATCCAAAAACTAGAAGCTCAAGAAGTTCTTCTCCTTTAAACTTTCAATAGTATCTTTAAGGCTCACTTCTAAAGAAGTGAAGTTGATACCCAAGCTTTTCACCTTGTCCTGGGATACTTTGAATGTTGGCACTATAGACAAGTCTCCTTTAGATCTGCCACCAAAAAAAAATAAACTTTAATATCTACACTTGAAGGGCTATATGTACATTATATTCAGTTTAGAAAAGGAAAACTCCTGATTTGAATCTTAGCTTACTTCTCTGGAATGGCAAGAGAGGGATAAAGCTGGCCAACAATCTTCAAAACCTGAGAAATGTGCATTGTTTCCCCAACCAAAAAGTATCTTCCACTGGCGGAAGGTACCTCAAATGCTTTGATATGTGCATTTGCGACGTCTCTAACATCAACATAGCAATTGATTGGAGAAGACATGAAATCCTTTCCTGTGAATATATGTTCGCCACTTCCGTTAAGGCTCAGATAAGAAGAATGCTATCATACCATCATCATAATTCATAATAATGTTCATTTTCTTGGAGAGATGTAGTTACCTTCTTTTATGACGTCTAGAATCGCCCCACTTGAAAAATTAAGAATTGGTTGTAAAAGAGGGCCAATAACAAGACTAGGATGCAGTAAAACCATGTCAATCCTATTCTCCCCTGCATATTTCCATGCTGCTTCCTCGGCAAGAACTTTAGACAAGATATACCATTGCTACAAAGATTTTTTAAAAAATAAAATAAAATTGATATGTAATCAAGTTATGATATGAGTCATATGACTAAACAATAATGTGTTGTATGTTGTATCCAATCATAAATATATTAATGTGAGATAACGAGTTAATTCCATTTTTGCTCGTAAATTTATAGGTGGCAATCTATTTTTAATTCTGTCGTTTTGTTTTTCAAAAAAGATTAAACTGTATTGTTGGAGGAGGCCGGACAAAAAATGACCATTCCTCAATAATATTAGAACCAAATCAAATGAGACGTTTTGAAAAAAAAAAAAAAAAAAATTAAAAGTGAACCAACACATTCAAATTTAGAACAAAAAATGAAATTAACTCAATAAGACAATGGAAAGTTGTCTCAATCACTTACCAAATACATGCATTATAATAAAAGATCCACAAAGAAGTCTGTTCTAGCTATTGTCTATTGAACTGGTGTACTATGCATACGTGTATATATATAAATCACAAACACACCTTTGTTTCCTCTGCAAATTCTTTATCAGAAAACCAAGTCTCTGATTACATCAGTTGGACTTATAGGATTTGGTTTGTACATAGCGGCTGCGGTTGAAGACGTCACCACTACCCTTTTCACAGAAGGTGTTCTCACACATGATCCAAGAACATTACGTGTCCCATTTACTGCAGGATCCACTAGTTCAGCCTAAAATATATATAGGGACAAACATCATAAAAGAGAAAGAAGATAGATAAATATAGAAAAGTGGGAAAAATGGGTGATTGTGAAAGAGGTGATTATGATTGGGAAAAAAAATCGCTGGTTTCCTTCAACAAAAGATTAAACCGAGGAAAGGGGTTTAAACCTTAGTTGCAGATGGTGAAAAGGAAACAGGTGAAGCTGTGTGGAAAACACCTTCACACCCATTAATTGCAGGATCAAAAGAGTTCTCTTCAACTAAGTCAGCTTCAAACAAATGTAGTCTTTCCTTGGCACCATCTAAATCAAGAAGATGTGACACCTTATTTGGATCCTCTGTAATGGAAGGTACGACAGCAACACATACATCAATGATTTTCCAGAAATAAAATGTGAACTCAAAATTGAATTGGAAGAGAGAGGCCAGCTGGGAACTGACTGAGGCTGCGAACGGTGGCGTGGACGGTGTAACCACGGTGGAGCAAAAGCTTGACGAGCCAAGAAGCTATGAAGCCGGAAGCACCGGTCACGCATACCACCTTCCCCTCTCCGCTCATCCTTTATCTTCTTTTAGATTGCCCTATCTACCAAGTCTGTCTACATATATATTTATATGCACACCACATCATGCAAATTAAATGATTGATTAGTAAAGTGGACACATTATAGTACCAATGGATCAGGTCCACCTTGCATTTAGGGTACGGTACTAATCCAAAATGACATTAATGGTAATGTTTAGTTGCATAGGGTAAAATATTGTGTAGACTATGATCCACATAGTTGTATGGACCATCGTCAATAGAATAAAGAAAATACTACATGTATTTCCATTTCTTTACTCCCTCTCACAAATTCTTGATGTAGACAAATTCCTTGGGACTCACATGATGAAAGTAGCCGATCTTTGTTTGCCATGTCATGGAATGAAAGTGAAGGAATATAATTTGAAAATACATGTAGTAGAACTCATGGAATAATGATGGGG